TAAAGGAAATACAGCTTTACTTAAACAAATTTGTACTTAAACAAATTTATGGAACCTGGATTGATTGATATTTGTGAAGGACTTTGGCAATCAAGACATGCTTTAGAGAAACTTACTATTGATGATGATCAATTGAGCAACAAAGCTATTTATAGAAATTGTTGATAAATTGTTCCAAAATGAGATATAATTGGAAACAGGATTCTGTACTTGAGTGTTAGAGATTAGCACAATCAGTACAGATTATAACCGTAACAATTGCACTCACACTTCTAAACTTGTTAGGCTAAAGGTTGGTGTAGCTGTTTAGAAATTGCTATCTAAAGGTCTTATGTGTTAGGTTACAGGGAGTCCCTTTTTAGTTGATTATTGATTATTATATGATCCTTGGAGCTTGCTTTTTAATTGTTGATAAAATATTTTGCATACTAGCCTTTAAACACATCAATATTGTCAATTGAAATATTAACATTTGAAGGTTTAGTTGTTATTCACACATGAATATATTAGTATAATGTGATTTTCTTTGCTGAATATGAAAATAATATAAGAAATTCAAAAATTCAAATAAAACAGAATGTAAATTTAATTTTAAGTTGGAAAGTATATTCAGTTTGTTTCTAGTTTTGCAAAAGATATTTTTTGACAAAATGAAAAAGAGAAGCAGAATTCTCACATTTCAAGAGTCCCAATTGATTTTGAAAAGCAGTCAAAGAAAAAATACACCAAAATTGACATTTAAAACAATTTCCAATAGAAAATATTTTTGGAATTTCCTACCTACTCCACCTACTGTGGTTTCATCACCCTCTCTATAGTTTTTGATCTGGGACTCATCACGGTCTACTATAATGTTAAAACAAAATGAGAGGCTTGAGAATCTTATTGTAAGGGATCTCTTCAGATTTAATTGGGAGATAAAGATTCTTGTGTTAGTTAAAGATGTCATTAGTTGTAACTAAACCAACAAGTGCCAAATATTATGAAAATTTTAAAGAGACAATGGAGATAATAATTGCAAATATGGAAAAGGTTGTTATGGCTAATGAATGTATTGGAAACTGTGCAAATATAACTTGGTAGTATTGAAGAGGAGATATGTTAACATAATGGACTGATCTAACCCTACAATACATGTGATAGCAACAGGGTCGAGACAAAACATCCCCTGAAGGTAAATTTTAGGGCTAGGTTTGGTGGGGTTATAGGTTGTGAAAAATTCAATTTTATGAATTTCAGTTTATGTCAAGGTCAAACTGTTGGTTAGGGATAAAAAAGCAGAAATTACTTTACCCACTATTGATCTGGATCAATACTGCTTATCTCTATCAGTATACTATTAGTGCAGTGCAATACTGGTTCAATACTACTTATCTATTGTAGAATATAGCTGACATATGTATGTGTATGTCATATCTACCTTTAGTACAGGATTTTAGAAGATCCAACATTTAGTAGGGCCAAACCTTAACTGGTCACGAAAGGTTAACCTTGAAGATGACTAACTAGGATATGGTTTGACCAAATGTCATTGCATTTTCTTTTGTAAGTTTTAAGAGTTATAAATTTTAGATAGCAGCAAGAATTTAAGCATTTAAAATGTCACAAAAAAGTGTACAATTTAGAAATTAGACCTAAATCATGATAAACACTCTTTATAAACTTGACCTTTATAAACATAACCATTTACAACATAATATATGGTTATATCTTATGGTTTTAGATTTTCTATAGAACGTCAGCAATTTAAAGAATGGCTGTTAATGGCTACTTTATAAGTGACAAAGAGCTGGAATGCTCTATTTGTTTGGCATTATGGATAGAGAATGATCCAAGAATACTGCCTTGTCAACATACTTTTTGTTTAATTGTTTGAATAATTTGCCCAGTGAACCATGGAAAATAACTTGTCCAGAATGTAGAGGAGAGCATTTTCTAGATAAAAATCATGTTGGCAGTTTGCCAAAAAATCGAATGCAATATGCATTACAAAAACATTTAGCGTTGCCACTTGTTGATGAAGATTACACTTTAACCAAACAACAATTGGAATGGGAACAAAAATTCTACAAACAGCAACAGCAACAGCAAAAGCTACAATATCAAACATTGGAAAAACTCCAACAAGAACAAGAACAAGAATTGAGGCAACTACAAATATCTCTAAAACAACATCAAGCTGAACAAAAATTGCAGCTGAACCAATTGAAAGAATTGAAGCAACAACTACAACAACAAACCAAAAAAAACGAACTACTAGAACAACAAAAGGAGCAACTGGAACTGGAACTGGAAAAACAGAAACGACAACAGGAAAAAAAACTTTCTTCTGAGAATATTGTTCAACCTCTGCCAAAAAATATCAATTTGAAGGTAGAACATCTTTCAATAACAAAAATGAATTGCTCAGAGCCATATCAACAACCAACTATTCCTAAGCAGAGTGATAAATTGTCTTCAAATGTTCAATTTAATCAATCAAATGCAAGAGAAGTTCCCCTTAGAAGAAGTGTTTCAGACATTATCAACTCTTTTGGAGGACAGAAAAAATGCAAAGAACCTTCTGCACTACATTCTGTGGCATTCTTCAGTTCACCTGATTCATCCAGAAGAGGGCTTCCAACTAAACCAAAGATGACTTCACCAACAGCTAGTAAGTTAAAGATTTTTACATTTAGAGATTCCCAAAGTGCAGCAGATACTGATTTCTTTGGAAATTTTCTAGTTCCTATAGCAACATATATTTTATGAATTCTTATGTTCTTCTCCTAATTCTTCCTAATTGTAGATAAAAGGCAAATTACTCAACCAATATGTCAGCATCCCAACTTACTGACCCAAATTCATCAAGTAAAACTGAAATTGAAGTCAACAATTGATTCTAAAATACAAACAGGTAGGAAAATACTGATTGTTATCTTTACTCTAATTAACAACATGTCTAATTTATTTAAGCAGAGTATGGTCAAAATAATTCGAATACAGCAATGTCTTCTGCTGAGAACATTGCCCAACCACTGTCAAAAAAACCTTCTCCTCCACCAAAGCCTTAATACTTAAACACATTAAACTGATTGATGAAAACTAAATACAAAATGAGCCTTATAATAATCAATTTTTTTTGATTTTTTTGAAAATGATTCAATGGTTTATGACTCTATGAAGAGTTTGTTCAAATAAAAAAATTATTAAAACCGAGAGATTTATTGCTAACAATAAAGATACAAATTTTATTGATTCTGATAAAAGAGTACTGGTGAAGAAGACAAATGAAATATCCTGTTATCAGTGGAATATCAATTATATTTTTACTCTCAGTTCTAATATTCCATTTGCCTGTACACATACATTCGTCAGCTATATTCTACAATAGAGAAGTAGTATTGAACCAGTATTGTACTATGCAGATAGCACTGATAAAGATAAGCAGTAGTGACCTATTTTCGCGTAGGGCAGTGCATACACATTATGCAGCAATAAAACCTATTAAATTATATAAAGAATATTTGCTTTGCAACCTAGCATTAATATTACAATTTATTAATCCACACATTTATGATTTTGAACTAAAACTAGTTCAATTAATTATCAATTATGCTTAAATTCTAAGTTTAGATTATATTGACTATTCAACAGTATTGTATACACAATACTGTTCTTCTTAACATGCATTAATCAGATATACTTCCTCCTTATATGCTGATGCTAAATTTACTAACTCAATCAATTGAATATCATTATTAAGGTAGAATATAAAAACGGTCAAATATACAATCTACATGTTTTCTTGATTGTTGGACTTGTCCTACTAAAATTGTTACGTCTTATGCAACTCTCCAACCTGAGAAATTCAACTATTTTTAAAAGAGGAAAACAATAAAAACATGACCATATTTACAACTTTTCTTTGTCTTCAAATGTTACTTTTGTTTTTGTGAACATTGAAATTTGTCAACTATCAACCCTTAAAAGAGTATATAAACCCTACGAAATTAACAGTTGATAGTTCAGTTTCTAACCGTCAGCTAGTTGTTTAAACTAGCTTGTTTAAAACTAGAAGCTCATTTACTCAATACATATTCTTTGGATGAAATACTGGTGTTTTGTTGATTAATTTCTATCGAAATTGCCTTTGTTAGACTATTTGTGGACATTTAAAACAAATGTTTAAACAAATGTTTAAAATAAAATGGTTTATTCGCAATAATAATACTTAAGCAAGTAACAATATGAGAATTCAATAGCAGAGTAGATAGTTCGTAATAGCAGGCTGCCAAATTACCAAACTGTCTTCCAATGTTGAGGAAGAGATGGATGGTTCCAGTGGAGGTTGTTTCCAGGTTATCTTCCCAGGTCCTTGGATCCAGATGGAAGCTGCATGCAGAATGAGAATAGTGAAGATTTATATACTTTGAGGTTTGTCTCTGACATCCAATCATCACTTTACAGTTGCCTAAATGTGTAGTTCATATTTATGTTTAGTAACAGGATGTTACAAGGTTCAACATTTAGCGAAGGTTAATTGAATTATAACTTGGCCACACCCTAGGCAAGTTAATTAAATTATAACATTGGCCAAACACTGGTTTGATTAGTCAGCTTGAAGGCTCATCTTTAATTACCAATAAAGGTTTGGCCAAGTTATAATTTAATTAACTTGCCTAGGGTGTGGCCAAGTTATAATTCAATTAACCTTCCTAAATGTTGAACCTTGTAACATCCTGTTACTAAACATAAATATGAACTACACATTTAGGCAACTGTAAAGTGATGATTGGATGTCAGAGACAAACCTCAAAGTATATAAATCTTCACTATTCTCATTCTGCATGCAGCTTCCATCTGGATCCAAGGACCTGGGAAGATAACCTGGAAACAACCTCCACTGGAACCATCCATCTCTTCCTCAACATTGGAAGACAGTTTGGTAATTTGGCAGCCTGCTATTACGAACTATCTACTCTGCTATTGAATTCTCATATTGTTACTTGCTTAAGTATTATTATTGCGAATAAACCATTTTATTTTAAACATTTGTTTAAACATTTGTTTAAATGTCCACAAATAGTCTAACAAAGGCAATTTCGATAGAAATTAATCAACAAAACACCAGTATTTCATCCAAAGAATATGTATTGAGTAAAATGAGCTTCTAGTTTTAAACAAGCTAGTTTAAACAACTAGCTGACGGTTAGAAAACTGAACTATCAACTGTTAATTTCGTAGGGTTTATATACTCTTTTAAGGGTTGATAGTTGACAAATTTCAATGTTCACAAAAACAAAAGTAACATTTGAAGACAAAGAAAAGTTGTAAATATGGTCATGTTTTTATTGTTTTCCTCTTTTAAAAAATAGTTGAATTTCTCAGGTTGGAGAGTTGCATAAGACGTAACAATTTTAGTAGGACAAGTCCAACAATCAAGAAAACATGTAGATTGTATATTTGACCGTTTTTATATTCTACCTTAATAATGATATTCAATTGATTGAGTTAGTAAATTTAGCATCAGCATATAAGGAGGAAGTATATCTGATTAATGCATGTTAAGAAGAACAGTATTGTGTATACAATACTGTTGAATAGTCAATATAATCTAAACTTAGAATTTAAGCATAATTGATAATTAATTGAACTAGTTTTAGTTCAAAATCATAAATGTGTGGATTAATAAATTGTAATATTAATGCTAGGTTGCAAATAGCAAATATTCTTTATATAATTTAATAGGTTTTATTGCTGCATAATGTGTATGCACTGCCCTACGCGAAAATAGGTCACTACTGCTTATCTTTATCAGTGCTATCTGCATAGTACAATACTGGTTCAATACTACTTCTCTATTGTAGAATATAGCTGACGAATGTATGTGTACAGGCAAATGGAATATTAGAACTGAGAGTAAAAATATAATTGATATTCCACTGATAACAGGATATTTCATTTGTCTTCTTCACCAGTACTCTTTTATCAGAATCAATAAAATTTGTATCTTTATTGTTAGCAATAAATCTCTCGGTTTTAATAATTTTTTTATTTGAACAAACTCTTCATAGAGTCATAAACCATTGAATCATTTTCAAAAAAATCAAAAAAAATTGATTATTATAAGGCTCATTTTGTATTTAGTTTTCATCAATCAGTTTAATGTGTTTAAGTATTAAAGGCTTTGGTGGAGGAGAAGGTTTTTTTGACAGTGGTTGGGCAATGTTCTCAGCAGAAGACATTGCTGTATTCGAATTATTTTGACCATACTCTGCTTAAATAAATTAGACATGTTGTTAATTAGAGTAAAGATAACAATCAGTATTTTCCTACCTGTTTGTATTTTAGAATCAATTGTTGACTTCAATTTCAGTTTTACTTGATGAATTTGGGTCAGTAAGTTGGGATGCTGACATATTGGTTGAGTAATTTGCCTTTTATCTACAATTAGGAAGAATTAGGAGAAGAACAATAAGAATTCATAAAATATATGTTGCTATAGGAACTAGAAAATTTCCAAAGAAATCAGTATCTGCTGCACTTTGGGAATCTCTAAATGTAAAAATCTTTAACTTACTAGCTGTTGGTGAAGTCATCTTTGGTTTAGTTGGAAGCCCTCTTCTGGATGAATCAGGTGAACTGAAGAATGCCACAGAATGTAGTGCAGAAGGTTCTTTGCATTTTTTCTGTCCTCCAAAAGAGTTGATAATGTCTGAAACACTTCTTCTAAGGGGAACTTCTCTTGCATTTGATTGATTAAATTGAACATTTGAAGACAATTTATCACTCTGCTTAGGAATAGTTGGTTGTTGATATGGCTCTGAGCAATTCATTTTTGTTATTGAAAGATGTTCTACCTTCAAATTGATATTTTTTGGCAGAGGTTGAACAATATTCTCAGAAGAAAGTTTTTTTTCCTGTTGTCGTTTCTGTTTTTCCAGTTCCAGTTCCAGTTGCTCCTTTTGTTGTTCTAGTAGTTCGTTTTTTTGGTTTTGTTGTTGTAGTTGTTGCTTCAATTCTTTCAATTGGTTCAGCTGCAATTTTTGTTCAGCTTGATGTTGTTTTAGAGATATTTGTAGTTGCCTCAATTCTTGTTCTTGTTCTTGTTGGAGTTTTTCCAATGTTTGATATTGTAGCTTTTGCTGTTGCTGTTGCTGTTTGTAGAATTTTTGTTCCCATTCCAATTGTTGTTTGGTTAAAGTGTAATCTTCATCAACAAGTGGCAACGCTAAATGTTTTTGTAATGCATATTGCATTCGATTTTTTGGCAAACTGCCAACATGATTTTTATCTAGAAAATGCTCTCCTCTACATTCTGGACAAGTTATTTTCCATGGTTCACTGGGCAAATTATTCAAACAATTAAAACAAAAAGTATGTTGACAAGGCAGTATTCTTGGATCATTCTCTATCCATAATGCCAAACAAATAGAGCATTCCAGCTCTTTGTCACTTATAAAGTAGCCATTAACAGCCATTCTTTAAATTGCTGACGTTCTATAGAAAATCTAAAACCATAAGATATAACCATATATTATGTTGTAAATGGTTATGTTTATAAAGGTCAAGTTTATAAAGAGTGTTTATCATGATTTAGGTCTAATTTCTAAATTGTACACTTTTTTGTGACATTTTAAATGCTTAAATTCTTGCTGCTATCTAAAATTTATAACTCTTAAAACTTACAAAAGAAAATGCAATGACATTTGGTCAAACACATATCCTAGTTAGTCATCTTCAAGGTTAACCTTTCGTGACCAGTTAAGGTTTGGCCCTACTAAATGTTGGATCTTCTAAAATCCTGTACTAAAGGTAGATATGACATACACATACATATGTCAGCTATATTCTACAATAGATAAGTAGTATTGAACCAGTATTGCACTGCACTAATAGTATACTGATAGAGATAAGCAGTATTGATCCAGATCAATAGTGGGTAAAGTAATTTCTGCTTTTTTATCCCTAACCAACAGTTTGACCTTGACATAAACTGAAATTCATAAAATTGAATTTTTCACAACCCTATAACCCCACCAAACCTAGCCCTAAAATTTACCTTCAGGGGATGTTTTGTCTCGACCCTGTTGCTATCACATGTATTGTAGGGTTAGATCAGTCCATTATGTTAACATATCTCCTCTTCAATACTACCAAGTTATATTTGCACAGTTTCCAATACATTCATTAGCCATAACAACCTTTTCCATATTTGCAATTATTATCTCCATTGTCTCTTTAAAATTTTCATAATATTTGGCACTTGTTGGTTTAGTTACAACTAATGACATCTTTAACTAACACAAGAATCTTTATCTCCCAATTAAATCTGAAGAGATCCCTTACAATAAGATTCTCAAGCCTCTCATTTTGTTTTAACATTATAGTAGACCGTGATGAGTCCCAGATCAAAAACTATAGAGAGGGTGATGAAACCACAGTAGGTGGAGTAGGTAGGAAATTCCAAAAATATTTTCTATTGGAAATTGTTTTAAATGTCAATTTTGGTGTATTTTTTCTTTGACTGCTTTTCAAAATCAATTGGGACTCTTGAAATGTGAGAATTCTGCTTCTCTTTTTCATTTTGTCAAAAAATATCTTTTGCAAAACTAGAAACAAAACTGAATATACTTTCCAACTTAAAATTAAATTTACATTCTGTTTTATTTGAATTTTTGAATTTCTTATATTATTTTCATATTCAGCAAAGAAAATCACATTATACTAATATATTCATGTGTGAATAACAACTAAACCTTCAAAATGTTAATATTTCAATTGACAATATTGATGTGTTTAAAGGCCTAGTATGCAAAATATTTTATCAACAATTAAAAAGCAAGCTCCAAGGATCATATAATAATCAATAATCAACTAAAAAGGGACCTCCCTGTAACCTAACACATAAGACCTTTAGATAGCAATTTCTAAACAGCTACACCAACCTTTAGCCTAACAAGTTTAGAAGTGTGAGTGCAATTGTTACGGTTATAAATCTGTACTGATTGTGCTAATCTCTAACACTCAAGTACAGAATCCTGTTTCCAATTATATCTCATTTTGGAACAATTTATCAACAAATTTCTATAAATAGCTTTGTTGCTCAATTGATCATCATCAATAGTAAGTTTCTCTAAAGCATGTCTTGATTGCCAAAGTCCTTCACAAATATCAATCAATCCAGGTTCCATAAATTTGTTTAAGTAAAGCTGTATTTCCTTTATTTTACAGCAATTTTTCAACAAATTTCCAAAAGGTTTTCCATGTCTCTCTTTTAGGTCACAATGGAAAACAAAAATCTTACTTAAGGTATCTTTTGATTTAAGCAATCCATCACAAATATTTGAAAATCCATGTTCCATTCCAGGATTGGAAGATAAATTCACTTCAGTTAGCTTGGAACAAGCTTTTAATACATTTGCAAGGGATATAATTTGTTCTTTATTTAAATCGCATGAATAAACAACAATCTTTTCTAAAGTATTTTTTGATTGTAAAAGGCCAGTGCAAATTTCAGAAGAAAAACTTTTTCCCATTGCTTGATTAAATGTCAAATTTATTTCCTTCATTTTTATACAATTTTTAATAGTTTTCCAAAATATTTAGCTTGTTGTTCATTTAATTCACTATGTGAAAGATCAATCTTTTCTAAAGTATCTTTTGATTGAAGGAGTGCATCAAATAGTTTGAAAGCGAATTTATTTCGCAATCGCATAGAGCTCAAATTAATTTCCCTTATCTTGGAGCAGTTTTCTAACAATTTTATAAAATTTCCTATCATAGATGGAGATGGTTGATCCATCATTGCATGAATCATTTCCAAAGTATCATTTGATTTGATAAGTCCTTCAATAATATCAGAAAATACATTATTTAAAAATCTCTGTTCAAGAACAAGTCTTTCTCTCAGATAATATTCTGTATTCTCCTTTGCAACTGTCATAAAACTTATTTGCATTTTCTTTATGTTAGAGCAATTTTTTATCAACTTTCCATAAGCTCCAATTGCTTCTCTATTAATACATAAGATCTCAATCACTTCCAGAGAAGTTTCCAAAACATTTGTATCCCTCCTCATTTTCAAACCTACAATCCATATCTATTTTCTCTAAGGTATCTTTTGACTGAATAAGACCATTGAAAATATCTGAAACTTGTATTTTTATATGGAGGGATTGGTTAATAATTCTAAATTCTTTAATTTTAGAACAATTTCTTAACAAGTTTCCAAACCTTTTGCACAGTTTTTCATTTTCTAGGTGGTGAGGGTGAATATGAACTTTCTCCAAAGAATCTTTTGCTCTATGAAGACCATCAAAAATGTATGAAGTTAAATTTTGCTTAGATTGCCAAAAACAACAATCTAATTCAATTTCTTTTATTTTAGAGCAATCTTTGAACAAATTTCCAAAATATCTCATTTGTTCTTGATTTAGATAGAGTCTAGAAATTTTAATAATCTCTAAAGTATCTTTAGAAAGAGAGAGATATTTACAAATATCTTTAAATTGTTTTAGAATTTCCTTATTATCAGAAATATCTATAGATCTGATATTGTTATGGATTCTTATTGTATTGACATAATCCGTTATTGTTTGCCCATTCCTACTTTCTCTTGAAAAATCCAAGTTTACTAATTTTGGTTATGATAAAATTGGTCTGCTTTTCAATACTTTCTCAATTTCATCCAATTCTTTATTTATAGTCTTTCTATTATCGTCCTCCCTTTTTAAGAAAAATTCCACTTGTTTCTTATCTGATGACTTTGTTTGACAATCTAAAAATTTCTTCCAACATTCTAAACAAATGTTTTCATTAGGTTCATCATCATAGCTAATAGAATCTTTCTCTTTCTCTACTTTAAAAAAACCATTTCTTGAATGATTTTGCAATTGAACCTTTAGATATTTGTTAAAATCACAGGATTTCATTCTACTTTCACTTTCACACTGACGACAAATTACTCGACACATTTCCCTTTCCTCATCATTAGTAAATTTTGAACATGAAGAACATTTATTAACTGTGTAGAATAACATGAATGGGGGTTTATCCAACCATGAAATTAAACAGCAATGACATAAAAAGTCTTCTCCTTTCTCAATAAAGCTGGTGGCAGCCATTTTATATAAAAATTTGATAAGTTAATGGTCAAAGGTAATGTCTATAAATAACTATAAAAGATTAAAATATTGCTGAATTTTTTAATGGAATATTTTATTAAATCCTTTTACAGAATTCAATTATTTCTCACCATTCAAAAGTTATGACTCTGCCAATTTTAAAAGTATAGTTCTTAGATATAGGCCTATGAAAATTCTATTATATGTATATGCCGCGATGCACGGGACTGGTCGAAAACGGCCATAAATGAAATATTTGAAAGTTAGATTTCAGCCTGGGAAATGGTTAGGAGGAATAAGATAACTGTTGATATGTTCTTAGGAGGGTCCCATCTAAGGGTTAGGGGTATTCAAAAAGGTTAGGCAAAAACAAGGGCTGGGTTAGGGTTAGGGTAAAACCATAGATTTATGGCCATTTTCTACCACATCCGCCATGCACATATGCTCATGAACATTAATTATAGAACTACATTAGTCTTACTTTAACCACCTAAGAACATTTATTTAGCAGGCAGCAAAAGAGTATGAAAAGGTCAAACTCAACAACTATTGTTGACTTTTGGACCAGTTCCAACTTCTCACATTCACTGGTTGAATTGAATGTTACCAAAATTGTTACATTTTACAAAACAAGGTGACGACCTAAATTTATTTGACCTACATAGATTTCATTATCACATTATATGTTATACTGATACAATGTATATAGGCAGATATATAAACATACATTTATCTAAAAAATTAAAAGAATTAAAAATGAAAAGAAATAGAGAATATGAAATGTAGGTAAAATCTATGGAGCATATATATGAGATGTTTGTAGCAATAATTCATCTGCTAATATTTTTCCTAATTTGTATTCATCCCAATTGTCAAATATTTTTTTTTCTCTCTCCACATACCTTTTTCTCTGATATCTATATATTTGTTTATCAGACATCACCTTTTCATAGATAATCATCAAATCTCGCTCTTTTTTCAGTTCATCCACTAGTGTGTAGAATGAGCCTTTTGATTGCACTTGACTATCCATCCTGTTGTGCCAACCCTCCAGACTATTATTTGTTCTAATTCATAGACCAAACACTGACCAATTTTCAGGTTTCCACATAGAATTACATATCCATGTATTTTCAAAATACAACAGTAGGTCAGAAAATTTCTGTTGTTCCAAAAGTTCAGACTTGAGTCTGCCAAATGTTGAAATGATGGCAGAAATGGTAATGCCATGATTTTCCTTAGATCTCTCCATTCTTCTCCTTTCTCCATATATTGTTTGGAATATCCAAGAGACTGAGAATAACAAATTAATTATGAAATAAGATATTGATTTAAATATTAGATCTACCTGTATTTTCCTATAAATTGCTTGGGTGAAATGAAAAACACATCCATGTATTGTCGTATTTGGAAACACTTTTGTTATTGTCTTCCATAGTGCCATCTCAAAGTCTAAAGTGACTTTTTCAGGCTCTGACATGTTAATCATTTTCTTAATAGTCTGCAGAAAATTATTTAAAAGTTAACAAACTGAAAATATAATTAGTTATTACACTTACTTTAAATGCTAATTTATAAGCTCTCTTGCATTTTGATGTCATGAAAATGAAGGCAAGGGGCACATGTTTCATGTTCTCATTCTTTTTCACATAAGATTGGATTGTCAGTAATTGGTAAAATGGTTCTTTTACAATTTTAAATATTCCATCAACAAACCAATGATCTGATTTACTCAACAATTCAAACTGATAGTCTGTGTCAAATATAAGAATCCTTTCATTGTTTTCACAGATATCTTTCTTTAGAATGTTGTCTGGTATGAAATCCATATTTAATTCAAATTCATAATCTTTTGGTTCCATTGGCCTCTTCTTTTGCCTGGTTGAATTCGCCATCCTTTTTAAATATTGCAGGTTTGGTAGAAAATCAGTATTTTCCTGGTTATTGAGAAGAACTGTTTCAGCCAGCTTTCTTCCACTTGTAGCAAAATCTTTTTGGCATAAGTTTTTCAGTTCCCTTTTTATTTCAACATCAACTTTTTGATACTTTTTTCCTTCATGATTATGCTGTTGACTTCCTTTAACAAAGGTACTGTCTTGTTGGCGAATTCTTGCTGGACATCTTTTTTTATTGGTTCTTACACTGCATACCCATATGCTACTTTTTGAATTTTTTGTTTTCAGAGTGAAGGAAAACTCATTAATAATTAGTAAATCTTTGCCAAGCTGACTTCCCCCTTTTACTACATAAAATTCATCCATCCTTCCAGTCACATTACTCTCTTCTAGATCTTGATCTTCATTTCTACAAATAAGGGCAGGCTGTTTAGTGTCTTGATTTTGACTTCTTTCATTAATGTGACTTTCTTCTGTATGTTGATGTTCATTTGCACTATTAATGACACTCTCATCCATATCTCTGTGTTGATCAATCTGCATAATTTCCCTGTTAATAATATCATTATCATCATCTTTCAATCTTTTAACCTGCAGAAGAAACTGCTTCTTTTCACAGTCCAGACAAACTGATACCTTTGAATCTA